GATAGATAGATAGATAGATAGATAGATAGATAGATAGATAGATAGATAGATAGATAGATAGATAGATAGATAGATAGATAGATAGATAGATAGATATCAATATATATAAAATCAATAAGCTCCTCATTAGACAAACACAAATCATCACAATAGTCAGGCGTCATTATTAACATCACGTTTTGATGTTCAGTGTTTTCAGCATAATTTGAAAAAGAAAAGACACATACTTGCACAACAAGAAAAACTGTAAAATACCCTTTAAGGTTAACATTAGGTGTGTCTACTTGTAAATGAAAGGAGGAGGAACTTTACTGAAAGTAGACGATGAAAAAGGGTTTCAGTGCGCATTTTCACACAGAGCAGTGACACAAAAGGGAGTTAACTGTATCCAAATGTCTCCTTTTAGTTTAGAATATTAGGGGAAATGGATAAATACACACATCCCCTGTTTTTTGAAGTCAAAGGTCTCTCTGGCAATGATATTCAGGATATCTGGAGATACTTTCAGAGAGGAGAAGACTCTGGAGGTGGTGAGTGTGGAATTCCTGCAGAGGTTGAAGGCAACACCTATAAAATCTGTTTCAAGGACAAAGAAGGTATTTTTTTTATTTATGTAAACAAGAATATGTGTAAACAGTTTAAACTCATGCTAATACCTCTGTGACCATGTCCATATTCACAGGCGGCATATAATCGTGTTGAATGATGTTCACCATCTTAACTGAATATTAGAAGAGCTAAAAAAGCTAAAGAACAATATGCTGCCCTAAGTTACTTGCGATTCTTTGTTTCTTTCATTCTTGCAGTTACATTTTTAAATGTGAGATTTTGTCCGTGACATGTGGTGACTGAATTTAGCTGTTTTGACAGTTCAGGAGCGGGTTTTGCTGAGAAAGTTTCATGCCATCTCTATTTCTGGTGGAAAACAGTATTTAACAGTGAGCCAAGCAAGTTTACCTCCACAGACCCTCAATCAGTCAGCGACCACGCAGTCACAGGTAAGTTTTCTTTTTTCTTTTTCCTAAGGAAACATTGCACTATGTACTGTCAGGTAATCTGACCTGACCAGTTTGGGTGGATTCCTGAAAGGTGCAGGCATTCAAAAAAGGCACCCAAAGCAAAATCCAAACATGAGCCATGTCTGATTAATAGAAATGCAGTTTTATCCAACACTAAGATAATGAATCAGCACAGCTGGGAAACATGTACTCTGATTACATCTCTGAGTTTACTTATGATCAGTTTAGTTACGTTTTATTAGGTTCCCTTGAGTCTTTGTCCTCTGTGCTCCTCTCGGTGTGTCTCTGTTTATGTGTTCATGTGTTCTCCCCAGCCCATCTTGTCCTCTGTATGTGCTCCTTAGTTATGTCCACATCTCGTCTCCCATTCTCACTGCCCTGTTCCCTTGTTAAGTCAGAGTGTCTTAGTCTGCCTTTTCCCCATTTTGTTTTGACAATCTCATGGTCTATGTGCAGTGTGTTTAGTTTTGCTTCCTGGTGTCATGTTCGTTTGTATCAGCTGTGTTCCCCCGTGTGTTTCCACTTCCACTGGAAACCTCCTGTCTGTATATATTGTGTGAGTTTTCCCTCAACCTTTATTGTCGTGTCTGTTTTTTCCCCATGGCTCATTTGTGTTCCCTCCCAGGTTTACGAGGTTTAACCAGGCTTTTCTAGTAATGGGTAATTGTCTTGTCTTCTTAATTTCCCCAGTTCAGGCGATCGATCCTCTGTTTAGTTTATAATTTATGTTTTTCCCGTTCAGGATATCTGCCTAAATAAATGGCACGGTTTTAGTTAAATTCCAGTTCCCGTCTGTGCTCTGCGTTTCGGTCTTCACATAAACAATCCATGCAATTTGCCTTCACATATCGTGTCAGTTTCCTGCTCTTAGCTGACAGGAGTGGCACTCGGTGCAGTCTCCTGCTGGTTTACCCCATCTGCTTCAAGTGACGTGTTGTGTATTCGGAGATGCTCTTTTGCATACTTTAGTTGTGACAAATTATTTGAGTTATTTTTGCCTTCCTATCAGAGACTATTGCGCAGGAAATTTTCTGTAGATCAGCAATATTTGTACTAATTGTACTTAGTACAGTTAGTATCCACATATGTTGACTTGTTGATTTGTAAAAATGGAAATAAATAACTAAAATAAAATAAAACTGCCAAAAAACAACAAAAAACCTGTCATCTGCTACTGACCAAACTGCTTTTAATCATTGGCCTAAACTTTCACAATTAGTGAATCTGCAGACTCTATTTTACCAGAACCAAAGCATTTTAGAAAGTGGAAGCCTTCTATAAACTAAGATAACTTACATTCACCTATAACTTGGATAGACATTTGAAAAAGAACAACCAATTTGGTCAATAACACTCAGTCCATGTAAGCTTATCTCTTATGTTTTTTATTTTTATTTTTATTTTTTATTATCTCTTATGTTTAATGTTTATGTATTTTTTAAATGTAGAATTCTTATTGGTTTTCAAGCATAACGTGATAAATGTGCTTTTTTTTGGTTCTTTCTCAGGCACCAACAAAAGTGATCACAAAACATCTCGAGAGGACATTTAACATAGATATTTTCCTCCTGTATTATCTAAGAGATAAACCCAAGGCATTAAAAATTCTCCAGAAGCAGCTCTCTTATATCGGCTGCACGGTGGAATTAAAATTTGATGATGAAAATGTTGTAGTTAGAGGTGACAGTCAGAGTCAGCCAGGATGCCCTGCAGAGAAACAGGAGCTACAGCTGGATCAGATTTTCAGCCGTTTCAATGAGAACTATCTCTGCTATCATGTATTTGAGCCAAAAAAGATCAAGATGCTGCTGCAAGACTCCTCCCTCAAGATAGATGACATCAAAGTGTACAATGAGAATGGCTATGCTGTGGTTGTGGGAGAGGTCCATGCTGTGAAGGAGAAGATTGCAGATCTGGAAAACATTCAATACACCAAAAAAGAGCTGCCAATTGTGGAGAAGCAGTACAGGCGTATAGAAGAAGAGTTCAATCGAGAAATGTTCGCTAACTATCCAGATGTTAAAGTCGTCAGAGGTAGTGCCACAATCACTTTGGAGGGCCCTGACACAGATGTGCAGTCAGGAGCTGCAAAACTAGATGAACTGATTAAGAACATAAAGGAAAAAAGAGTCAAGTTCCCCACAGCTCTGCTAATCTTCATCAAAACCAGTGGAGCCATCTCCAAATACCAAGCTCGTTTCCAGCAGAGCCTCAGAAACCCTGTTTTCTTTGAGGTGGGTTCAGATCTGGTTCTGTCCAGTTTGTCCTCTGATGCTCTGAATGAGGCTGAGGCAGCAGTGATGAGAGAGCTCAAAGTGGCCACTGTAAAACTGCAGGGGGCTGCAGCAGTACCTCCAGATTTAGACAGAGTGAAGGAAATCCTGATGAAAGCGAAGAAAGAAGCAAACATTAGTGAGCTCAGAGTGGATGTGAGCTTCATGCCAGGAGTTACTGGAACTGCAATAACTAAAGTACGACTGGTGGGCTACAGTGAGGATGTTAACAAGCTCAATGAGGTCCTTCATGGTTTCCAAAAGAATGAAGTTGATATTCAAGAAGTGGTAAACTTGTCACATCCTGAACTGGTTGACTGCTTCGATAAATTGTTAGACCTGATTGGCATGAAGCAATCTAATGTGACCTTGGAAGCCTCACATGTTCCACATCCCTGTGTGCTCGTGAAGGGTCCTCGTTCTCTGGTTCAGAAAGTTCAGACAGACTTAGCCACGAGTCTAGCGCAGCTGTCAACTGATACGGTGGTGTTAAATGGACCGGGGGTGCAATTGTACTTCCAGGAAGAAGGCAGACAAAACAAAGAGCTGTTGGAGAGATCCTGTCAGGTCATCATCAGGGAACAACAAGAAGTCTATTCTCAAAGTACCACAAGTGTGTCTGATCTTTACCCAGAGCCACTATACATTAACGTCATCAGCTCCAACCCAGACAGACTGGAAAGCAACACTGCCAGAAGTACACCAAACACAACAGCTGTTAACAAAACAAACCTGGAGATCAAGCTTAGCACTTTGGAAGATGAACAGGTTAAACAAATATATTCTAAACAATTTCACAATTTCTATTCAAGCAGCATGTGTCCCACATGTTAGTATTATTTCACATAATTTCTACAGGTGAATGTGGTGGTGGCCCCCATGGTATCCAAAAAGCTTGCTTCCACTAAAGTTGGTAAATGTCTACTGAAAAAAGCAGGAAATCCATTGCAGAAGGTCTTTCATCTGATAGCTCGGAAGTGGACCCTTTCTGCTGGTAATGTTATGGTGGTTGATGCACCTCCGGCTCTGAGCTGCTCTAAGATCTTCTTCATTGAGTGTCTGCCATGGGATGGAGTTGATGGCCTCAGCATGCAGGTAAAGTAAAAACACAGTAAATTCATAAACATGTAAGAAAAACACAGTCATAAACCAGTAAATGGAAATGGTAAATCTCCTTACCCCTGAGACCAATGCATAGACAAGTTTTTCCTGTTTTCTCCTTTGCAGACACTTGCTATTGGGCTAAAAAGGTGTTTGGAACTCTGTGTAGAGGAAGGCTGGTGTTCAATTGCCTTTCCAATCATTGGACCCGGGGTAGTTCTGAAATATCCCCAGAAAGAAGCCATTCAAGTGCTGACTGACAGCATTGACCAGTTTGGATTATCTGGGTCATGTGAATCCCTTCACAACATCTATATTGTCATTAAACCAGACTATCAAGACTCTGAGGAGGTGACAGAGTTTGATCTTTTTCGATAGCTGTATACAGCAACCCTTTTTTAAAATTTTTATTTTCCACTATCAGTTACTGCAGTAGCAGGTCATAGTATTACTATATTACATTGTATTAAATACATATTACTCCCTGCTGAGAGTGATAGCAATATGGGTAGGAATGAAGGTGTTAGACAGTACCACCCGAGCTACTGGAGTAAAAATGAATGCAATTACAGTACATAAGCATGTTTCTGCTAAGGCTGTATCTCTGTTAAAAGGGAACATCTCCCTTCTGCCATCTCCGAGCTCTTTCTCACGTATGATCATCTGTTTATTGTGTTTTTCTTGTAAATATTGCAACATAAAGCACAGATGATAATGATCACAACACAGAGGATATGTCATTTAACATTAGTTAGAACCAGAGAATCTCAGGACTTGTTACCAAAGTAAGGGCAAGTTTGCGTTTGTTCTTAGTTTTAAGTACTGTGCATTGTTTGTAGAAACATTTCTGGAAAGGTGGTGCTTAAACCAAACATGTATCTACAGTGCTACCATGAGGTCTACAGACAGCTGAGCTTGAAGATCAAGCAGAGCGGTCAAGGTAAAACCAGAGCTGGTTGAACTGTTTTGATTCAGACAAAAATCTACCTTTGAAATGTTGTGTTTTTAACAAATATTTAACTGTTTCCACGGTTCAACAAGTGACATGGAGGTTGATATCAGAAATGTGAATCTTGTTGTCGTGTTCGTCTTTTCAGCCACCTTCAAGTCCCTCAAGAGTGACCTAACTGGCATAACTGTGAAAGTCCGAGGTGGGGTTGAACTAGAAGTGGTTTTTGGTGACATTGTTAATGAGACTACAGATGTTGTGGTGAACTCAACTGACTTCACAAATTTTCAAGGTGAGAGCTTTTGAATCTAATCAACTGTTGGGTTTCAATCATGTTTCCTGGGAAAATGCACTTTAGCCTTATGCTGGTAAACCATCTAATATCCATGTCCTTGGTGGCCTAGCTAGGGTGAAAAATAGAGATACGTTTTTGGGTTCTGTTGGCTCTCCCCTTTTGATAGAATTTCAAAATGTATTTAAAATAAGAAAGCCTTTTACAGATAATACCAACTTTAATGCCAAGTGAGGCTTGATTTCAGATTTATCACTTTCCAGTTTGTAAATGCATTTAGCACATGGCTAACATAAAACCAACTCTAAACCTAATACATTTCCATTGACCTGTAGGATGTTTAGGGCAAATTAGGTTTTATACATACTTTGAAAAAAAAATCCCCTCTAGCCCCGGTTGGTGGTCTTTATCCTTCATGCTTGGCTCCTTTACCAGAGGCCTGAGAGCTTGAGGGTCCTATGTAGCAACTTTGCTGCTCCTAGGATTGCGCTCTTCTGGACAGAGATCTCGGATGTTGTTCCTTGGATCTGCTGGAGCCACTCGCCTAGCTTGGGGGCCACTGCACCAAGTGCTCTGTTTACCACTGGGACCACTGTTAAGTGTACCCTCCACATCTTCTTTATTTCTTGGAACTTCTTCAGCTTTTCGTGTTCCTTCTTCCTGATGTTGTGTTGCTACGTGGTGGAAGATGGTCATCTTCCACTGCTTGTCCACCACCACTATGTCCAGTTGGTTTGCCATTTCCAGTTTGTCCATCTGTATCTGGAAGTCCCACAGGATCTTAGCACAGTCTTTCTCAACCCCCTATGGGGAGTCTTCCATTTTGACCTCATTTTGTCTCAGGGGCATTTTTGCACACCCTGCACCTGGGGTTTTGCCTGATGTGGTAGACCCCAGCCTCTATCGATCTTATACTAATTCCTGTACTTATTCCTTAGCCTGGATTCCTTATTCCTTATGTACTTGTTCCTGTGCTGCCATGATTAGTGCCTCTGTGCTATCTTTTGGTCAAGCTTTATCTAGCCATTGGTAGGAATTCTGGATGTCAGCTATTTCCTCTATCTGCTGGTGCTACATACCGTGCAGGGGCTTGTCCTTCCATGATGCCTCCTTTTCTTGCTCCTCATTCTTGGGTTTCTACTGCTTGAGGTATTCACTGAGCACACAGTCAGTTGGGGCCATCTTCCTGATGTACTCATGGAAGTTTCTTGTCTCATCCTGGACCATGGTTCGGACAACAACTAGTCCCTTGCCTTCTCCCTCCTGCCTTCCTTCCTTCCAGAGGCTTCTATGTCCTCCATAGGCCAGCTTATTATCCCAGCAGGGAAGGGTGTAGGTTTTGATAATCGGGATCTTGTTCTTGCCATTTAGCTGATTCCTCAGGACTTGCTTTTCTCTGCGGGTACTTGGCAGTTGCAGCGTTCCTATCGGCCTCTTTGTGGTTCCCATTTGCCTGTGGGATTCCCAAGTACTTGTAGCTGTCCTCTATGTCTGCAATGTTTACTTCTGGTAGTGCGATCCCCTCCGTTCTGACTTCCTTTCTTCTCTTCATTACCATCCGACTACTTTTCTCCAGTCCGAATGACATTCTGATGTCATTGCTGTATATCCTGGTGGTGTGGATCAGTGAATCGATGTCCCATTCAGTGAACCTTGATATCATCCATGTAGAGAAGGTGGCAGAAGATTGCTCCATTCCACAGTTGGTACCAGACAAAAGTTTGGACACACCTACTCATTTAATGGTTTATCTTTATCTTTATGACTATTTATACTGTAGATTCTCACCGAAGGCATCAAAACTATGAATGAATACATGGGATTATGCAGTAAAAACATGGTGAAATAACTCAAAACATGTTTTATAATTTAGATTCTTCAAAATAGCCACCCCTTGCTTTGATTACTGCTTTGCACACTCTTGGCATTCTGTCGATGGGCTTCATGAGGTAGTCCCCTAAGATGGTTTCTAATCAGTCTTAAAGGAGTTCCCAGAGATGCTGAGAGCTTGATGACTCTTTCCCCCCCTCACTCTGCAGTCCATCTGATCCCAAACCAACTTGATTGGGTTTATGTCAGGTGACTGTGGAGGCCAGGCCATCTGCAGCAGCACTCCATCATTTTCCTTCTTGGTCAGATATCACTTACACAGCCTGGAGGTGTGTAACCGATGGCATGGCATGTCGCTGCAGGGTGCTGTGGTAGCCATGCTGGTTCAGTGTGCCTTCAGTTTTTAAATAAATCCCTAACAGTGTCACCATCAAAGCACCCCCACAGCGTTACACCTCCTTCTCCACGCTTCATGGTAGGAACCATGCATGTAGAGACCATCATTTCACCTTTTCTGAGTCACAGAAAGACACAGCAGGTGGAACCAAAGATCTCAAATTTGGACTCATCAGACAAAAGCACAGATTTCCTTTGGTCTAATGTCCATTCCTTGTGTTTCTTGCTTTGCAGCGCTGTCAACAAAGCAAAGAGTAGCTACTTTGAGGAATCTAAAATATAAGATATGATTTTTATGAGTTATTTCATCAATGTTTTCTTTGCTACATAATTCCACATATCTTGCTTCATATATTTGATATCTTCAGTATGTACCTAATGTAGAAAGTAGTAAAAAAAAAGTAAAAGTTATTATTATTGATCTACAGGTGGTGTATGCCAAGAAATCTTAACTATGGCTGGACCTCAGGTTGAGGCTGAACTCAGAAATGGTGAGAAGAATGGCTGAAGATACACATTTAAAATTGCAATATATTTCTGGCACACAGTTTGCAGCATCTTAATCATGTTTTTGTTGTGTCCGTGTAGCAAAAGTAAAGAAGGGAGATATTTTAACAACCTCACCTGGAGGGTTCCCATGTAAAGCTATTTTACATGTGTGTGGAGAAAAAAATGTGAGTCTCATTGAGAAACAGCTGCTTTCTATCATTCAAACTTGTGAGTCTTCTGGATACAGGTCTGTGGCCATTCCTGCCATCTGTGCTGGTGAGTAGTGGGCAAGACATTAAAGATGCATAAGTGAACAGAAAACATATAAATATTTTATTTGAATGGCTGTCCAGGATCTGGTGGTTTGGACCCCAACCACGTTGCATATGCCATCCTCCAAGGGGTTAAGACTGGTGCAACTTTCCGTCCTCTCCAGTGTCTCACCAACATTCGCCTTGTCCTCAACAAGTTCAGTGTTTTCCTGGCATTTAAAAAGCGAGCAATGCAGATGTTTCCATCTGCTGTTATCAACACAGGTAACAGCTGTTCCTCTTCCTCATGAGGCACCTTTTTCATTTTTGAGCTATTTGTGACTGATTATAAATCATCTGTTTTACAGTTGTTGCACAAGCCACCCCAGTTATGAACATAGACCCAAGCATCCTTTCTACCAGCTCCAGAGTTCAACATTACACCTTCATGATTGTCGGACTATGCAGAAAAAATGTTGACAATGCCATTGCAAATCTCAAAAGTCTGTATCAGGCTGAGTGCACTACGCAAATCTTCAGGCAGGATGAACTTGCAGGCCTCACTCAAGATGATGTGAACCACTTAAAGCAGTTGACTGAGGTCCTGGGTGTATATGTATTGGAAGACCATTTTAATCCAGACTGCTGGACTGTGAGTGGGTTGAAAGATGGAGTCCATCAGGTGATGCAAGTGATTAGAAAATCTGCTACGTAAATATTTAGTCAAGCAAAATACTGAAAATCCACTTTTTTTCTTACATATCTGTGAGACAGAAGAGGTGTGTAATAAAATACAGATAGATATTAGGTTTTGGTAAAAGAAACAAAACAAAACAAAAACACACCCATACATTTGTTTATAGTGATCTGAGTTTCTTGAATACCTCAAGTAGCTTAGCACCAACAGAAATGTGTGAAATGCACTCTGTTCTGCTGAGCACAGAAAAAAATAACCAGCCACAACATTTATTTGTAAGTTTGTGATTACAGCAAATGTAAATGCCAAGGTTTTTGAATTTGTGAGCATGTCTGCAAATCAAAGCAAGAATAAACATCCTTCCTGGGATATTAACACTCCTGCATGAATTTACTTTCTGTTTTTTTTTTGACAAATTCACAGCTGCTATGTTATTGTTAACAGTATTGATGCAATTTCTAGTCTCAGTATGACATCTAGTGGATGGTCTGCTAACACAGCAACATTACTGCAGTATTGTTGCACAACTTATTTATTGCTTCAGTTTAGCCTTCTTTTTTCTTTTTGTGTTGTTTGAAATCTCAATGCATGAATTGAAATGTTCATATCCTAACTTATGTCTGCTTTACAACCGATAGAGTTACAGCTGTTAAATGTGTAAAAACAACATCATCAAAAAACATAAATACCTATGAGGGCTTGTGTGGAAAAGTGGCCTCACATTGCTGTTACAGAAGACGACTTTGCAACTTTTTAAAGTTGTAAAGTTGTTTTTTAAGTCTGTCATTGCCATATTTAACAGGTACTTCGTGTAGTAATAGCAATAATAATAATTTAAATAGATAAATAGATAGCAGAATAGATAATCAGCAGACTTCAGATCTCTTTTAAAAACATTATATATGACTGTGACTTCATATATAATGAAGTCACATATATGACTTCATATATGACTTCATATATGAAGTGACATATATGAAGTCATATATGTGACTTCATATATGACTTCACAGTCATATATGAAGACTGTGACTTCAAAGAGAGGAGCATATTTTTTCTCCTCTGATTTAATGATGGTTTGGAGAATCACATGTTTTAAGTGTTTCTTAAAGTGTATGTATTTCAGAGAGCTAAAGAAGCCTCTTGTACAAGAGGTACTTCTTGATGAACCAAAAAGAAGTCCAGCTGCCTTCTTTACAAACACTCAAACCTGCCTTGAGAATTTTTCACAGGCATACTGATACAAGTACAACATTTATTCATGACTATTTGGTAAGTAAGACCACGCCCCTTCAAAATCAGAGTTTCTATTGTCATGTCAGTGTTTGAAATGAAGTATTTAATATCTCTCTGGTAATTTCCTGAACAGTAGATTTCTCCACAAGCACATTTTACTCAGCAACATAGACCGTGGGGACGAGGAAAGTAGGACCCAAAACGCAGGACTCTGCGATGCCACAGTGCACTTTATTTACAGTGAAATAGACACGCTAGCCGACTACCAAGAACACACGTCTCACACAGACTATACCAGTCAGGAGTAATAATCCCACGTCGACTGTCGCCGCGAGTCCCGGTTAAATACCTCTGTCTACATCGGTACTCCCGATGACGACAGTCGCCAGGTCACGCCTTTCCCACGGTGCGCACTTCCGTAAACAGCCCCGAGGACCAGGGGGAGAGAGAGAGAAGCAGACACACGCACACACACTCTACATACAAACGTGGACAGAACAGTAGACGACACAGACCCCAAATAATAATAATAATAATAATAATAATAATAATAATAATAATAATAATCACTGCTCACGGACCCCCGAACCTCCAGAGCCGGGTCCGTGACAGACAGACAAGTTAAAAACAGTACCCGCTCCAGCATTGCTCGTAATAAAGATATTTCTACTCTAGCAAGTTCCCTAAATGTTACCATCCCAGCAGGACAAACAAGGAAATTCACCATATGAAACCCACAGTGACCTATTTTCATATCTAGGTGTGTCTGTGATTATGACATGCCAATGGAGGTTACAGGGACTTACAGGAAAGCGAAACAGAAAAAAAACCCCTGGGAGATTAATGCTTTCTCAGGAATGTGGTCTATGGAGACGTAAGATATAGAGGACTTGTATAAAACATATTGTAGGTATTGTAGGAATTGTAGGTAAAATGCCATTATTGTACTTTATGATCAGATCAAAGGGAGAGAAAACATCAAAATAAGAAGTTGGCCTTCTGAGGGATTTGAATATGGAATTAGTGGAAAAGAAGGTAAGGAATCCCAGTGTGCTTAAATTGTGTTATGTGTAAAAACTCTGTCTTAACTAGCCAACAAACAATCTGGGTCATGTTTATGGGGGACAGTGTCAGACATGAAACTAATGCTGAGAGGTCAGTAAAAAGAGTAGAAACTTTCTTTCACAAAGTAAATGTAAGAGATTAGGTATGTATCATGTGAAGGATAAATATATTCTATTTTTATGTAATTTCTCTAATTACCTCAATGAATAACAATAAACATAGCTCATTTATGATCTTACAATCATTCTTTGTCACTTCCATATCTACACCATGCAATAACAAAAACAAAGGTTTTACTATGGCTACACTTGCGTTTCTTTCTGGTAGTTCCCCCATCGGATAAAAACTACATTTGGGAAACGGGTCTATCCTGCTGGGTTGGATAGACACCATCCCAGCAGGTTATTTCATAAACTAACCTGTTGCCGTGGTGACATCCTGTCACAACGCCATGCTCACTTCCATGTCCTTTTTACAATGACACAAGAACAATTTCTTTCAAAAATGTTTGCAAAGGCAGACTTCATGGCTAGGCGCTTGATTTTATACACCTGTGGCAATGAGACTGAAAACACCAGAATTTAAAAATTAAGAAGGGTGGCCCAATAAAGGTGAATGTAAAGTGAAGGTAAAGGGATCGTCCACATCCAAAGACAGAAAAACAAACAGAAGATAAAGTTCATGGTATTTCATGATTTGTGGTTATAACCAGTCACTGCCAGTACCACAGTCAGCAAAATGCTTTGCAGTTTCAGTCTAGCTTTAACTTGGACTTGTTTCCGCTCCACAAAAGGGGAGGGTTGTTTGGTTTTGCACTTCCTTTATAAAGTGCAAAACCAAACATACTTCCGTGTAAAGAGCCTGATCAAAGTAAGTGTCAGACTAATTTTCTTCAAAATATTAAATCCTCACGTCAACCATCAGCCACCGGTAACCAACAATGTAACACCGACCTTTAAATTTTGTAATGTATGCTGATATATTTAAAAATAATTTACACACATAATAACAGCACATTCAGCACACGGGCGGTTGCCCGGTGCGGCATGGTGGGGGGCGGATTCACGGGCATCGGAAAAAAAAAAAAAAAAATAATAAATTGCTCGTACTCACGCTGCCCCGATATCAGCCAGCGCATATTGGGAATGTCATAGGCACCGATCGGTTTTCTATCGCCCATTTGCTGGGAGTAAGGGCGCCCTCTGTTTGCGAGGTGCGCCTGCTGCTTGCGGCACAGGGAGGAGAGGGCGGGGCGGCGGGGATGCGGGAGCAGCATCTAATAACCAACTCGCAAAATAAAATAAAAACAAAACAACAAACACGAAAACACCAGACATTATGATACAGACTTATAATTTGCACCGATGTTTTTTCGAAATTCTATACGCGAGCGCGAGAGCCCTCGGTGCGCCTGCTCGATGCTGAAGTCAAGTAAACTTTATTGTCATCTCCGCTACATACAGTCCAGTATATAGAGAGACGAGACGACGAGGCTCCAGTTACAGCAGTGCAAGTAAACAAACAACAAATATAAGAAGAGTAAGAAAATAAATACACACTTTAGGACCAGGGGTAAAGAGATCAATAACAATTTAAAATGTATATTTTACAGTTTGATGATTTAAAGTCTCACACACAACCTGTCGAAAGGGGAGGGGGCCCTGCTGCTTCCAAATAGAGCACATTTCATTCAAAATGATGTAAATCCAAGCCCATTATGTATTCATGATTTGAATCCTGGGTTGTGTGAAATCTCAGAAATAAAGCCTGGACAAAGTGAATCTGTGAACTAAGGTGTAGCTCTGTTGGGTTGTGTTGTGGTGATCCTCAGGTTGGGGGATTTGTGTTCATACTGGAGTTCAAAATTAAAACCAATGGATGTTCATTTTGACTAGATAGTACTTGACAGATTTACAGAAATGTAAATTTAATCTTTGTACATTACATTTCTGAAATCCAGTACTTTTTTTCCACCAGATTTTTACTAAAGATTTCTTGAAGGAGAAGCAGTTCAAACTGGAAGAAGAGTTTCACTGAGTCATGTGCACTCACTGGCCAGAGGCTTCAATCATGGGAGGGAAAAGGAACACAATTATCTTGGAAAGCAGTGGCGAGGAGGAGCAGCTAGGAGCTACTAAACTTGAGGAACTAATAAGGCAAATATCAGAAAAGAGAGTCAAGCTCCCAGCAGATTTAAGGACTTTTATCAAATCCAGCCGTGCCATCTCCAAGTACCAGACTCTCTTTCAAAACTTTAGACATCCTGTTTTCATAGAAGTGGGATCAGATCTGGTTCTGTCTAGTTTGTCCTCTGCTGACCTGGATGAGGCTCTGGCAGCTGTGGTGAACGATCTGAGTGTGGAGATTGTGAAGCTGCAGGGAAATGCAGCGGTATCTCCAGATCTTGACAGGATGAAAGAAGTCCTGATGAAAGCCAAGAACAAAGAAAACTTTCATGAGCTCAAAGTGGATATCAGCTTTGTCCCAGGATCTAATGGATCTGCCACAACCAAAGTAAGACTGGTGGGCTACAGTGAAAATGTGAGCAAGCTCACTGATGTTCTTCACGACTTCCAGTTGAATCAAGTTACAACTCAAGAAAAAATCTCTCTGCTTCATCCTGAAATGGTTGACTGTTTTCATAAAATCTTAGACCTGACTGGCATGAAACAGACCAAGGTTCCTTTAAGAGCCTCACATGTTCCAAATCCACATGTGTCTCTATCTGGACCCCGATGCCAGGTTCAGGAGGCCAAACAGGCCCTAACGTCAGCTCTAACCAGTCTGACAATAGAAACTTTGGGTCTGGATGGAGCAGGGGCTCAGCGGTACTTCAAGACTCAGGGTAAAGTGAGTAAAGAGCTGGTAGAGGACTCCTGTTGTGTCATCATCCAAGAAAAGCAAACTGTAGTCACCCCAAATGTGAGCACAAAAGCATATGCCAACAACACACTTACTATCACACCCCAAACTTTGATTACTGGAAGGTCCATGAGGACTCTGGATACCACAACAATCCCATATGTTGATGTTAGCAGTTTGGTTCAACAGGTTAGATTATTTCTATTTTATTCTATTAACAGTTCGATAACAACACATGTCATAAAAAGATGGTGTTTACTGCATGCATTTGTATTTGCAGGTTTACGGTGCCTCCTACAAAAACAACTTGAGCATGAAACGGGAAAACCAAGGTATACCAACAGCTATTGAGTTAAGTAAACTAAGGTAGATGTAAAGCACAAAACAAATGGAAGCATAAAGGTTATTTAGATAAGTAAAAGTATAAATACTGTAATCTGCAGGAGCTCAACAGTCAAAATAAAGATGCAAAGTGCTATCAGCAAAACATACTGACTAAAAGAGCCAGTGACCTAACAGCAGAACAAAGAGGCAGTCCAAGTTTGCTTGAGTATAGCTTTTTATTTAGAAATTATACATGAGACTAGCAAAAAGGGACAAATACAAAGTTCAAAAACTGGCTAGGAGTTAAAAATGAGGAAGGTATACAAACAGGCCAGCATAAAACTCTTAAAATGCATAGATGCAATTGAAAAGGGGAACTATTCAAGGACGAGTTCATGAAGACTATTCAGTTATATTTTTGCAGTAGATGTTTGTTTTTAAATATTTAAACACCAAATAATACAGATGTTTCCTTCTGTTGTAACACAAGTAGTTTGATGAATGTTAACATCAAGTTCCTGTTTATCAGAATCCTGTTGATGTGTTTTTATAACCTATCAGTGCTTGACTTGTTTTAACACAGACCTAAGTGTCCTCTGTACTACTCATCAGCGGTCCATCTTCCTGTTCCTGGGCCTTGGTAAAAAGAGTGTCCATGATGCAATGAAGAAGGTAAAAGATTTGTACCAGGCTCACTGCTCCACAAAAAAAATGACAAAGGAGGAGTTGGCAGACTTCACCCAGGATGAAATAAAGGATCTGCAGAAGCTAGTGGAGGCCCAGGGTTTGCATGTACAGCAGGACCAGAGTGGAGATGGAGGCTTGGTAGTCAGCGGGTTAAAAGATGGGGTCACCGAGCTGATACAGATGCTTCACGCTGCTGCTCGTCTACGGAGAGAAGTCAGAGTTAGGGAGGAGGATAATTTGTACCCTTGTGTGGCGTGGTGCATCCTGGGATATGATGGTAGCTGGGAAAGGCTCCCCAAAACAGATAATTATAACCTAGAGCATGATATGAAGAAAGAGATAGTGGACACACACGGAAACATGTGGAGCGTGGATCTGCAGAAGATGGAAGCCAGAAGTCGGTTAGCTAGAAAAACCAAGCTAAAACGACTGGAGAATCACTCAGGTGAGAAGAGTGGTCTGGAAAAGCTGTCGAGTCCTAATTAGCACATCTTAAATGTCAAAAGACTTACAAACATTAGAGTGGTGATAAAATACTTTAATGGGATTTATGATCTGAGCTAGAGCTCCTTGACATATTTTTAATCATGATTTCCGTTTGTCTATGCATTTCTTTATTTTTAAAGTTCATGTTAATTTCCCCGATCACTATTTTAAAAAGTGTTCATGTGAGCAAAGCAAGCCCTTTGTTACTCCATATGGTCAGTTTATGTAGTGCACAAAATATACGCCTTCGTTTTTTACCTTTTCTGGAAGCCCTCTGTGAGATTATGTCTGATTGCGCTGGACTCAGGATTTATGACAGTTGCAGTATGGATTTTGTCTTGATTCATTTGTCTTTGGAAACAATAATTTTAGAAACCTTTTTTTTAATCTTCTTTGGTTAACTGGTCTAACTTTTTCCAGACTTTACTCTTCCTTTGTACTGGGACAATATGGCTAGTGGTGAAAATCTAAAAGTGGTTGCATTGGAGCCTTCCTCTTCAGAGTACCTCAAAGTAAAGGCGGCCTTCACGCAAACAGTTCAGAAGAATATATTGAAAGTGGGTGGTTTTTACCAGAAATCTAAGTTAACTATGTTGAACAGGAAACTTGAACAGCTGAACATTTTGTTCTTTTGTGTTAGATTGAACGCTTGCAGAATGTCCATTTGCGGCAAAGCTACGAAGTGCAAAAGAAGAAGCTTTCTGAAAAGAACAGACAGGAAGGGGGAGCACGTGAAAGGCTTCTATATCACGGGACGAGTCAGGACAGCTGTGAGTCCATCATAAGAAATGGATTCAACAGGAGTTTTTCTGGGAAACATGGTAATTATCCTTTGATCCAATCAACTTTAATCAGTATGATCACCTGATTCTGTTTATAGAACACCAGTGCATAGAAAATATCCTATAATAATGTTATAACATTTGATGTCACTGTTGCTTTATTTTGTTGATATTCTTTTTTTTATTTTCTAATACAGAACATTACAGTGCTGTGCAAATGTTTTGACCTACCCTTCATGTTTTTATATTTTGCTTCCAAGCAGCCATTTTTTCTTGTAATATTTAGGGTGGTCTATACAATCGTTTTCCAGACATTTGCTTTTTCACAAATTTACAGTCCTTGTACCTGACCATTTTCAGAGGATTGTGTTGTGTTTTTTAAACCACCTAACAAGATCTTTGAATCTTTCAAACGTAAAAAAGACATCTAACCTGAGAAGTGATATAAATGTCTGATAAAACTTTAAATGTCTCTCTTTTATTTTCTGTTTTCAGCAACCTTATTTGGTCAGGGGACCTACTTTGCTGTCAGTGGCAGCTATTCAGCCAACCCCGGCTATTCAGGGCCAGCTGCTGATGGTTCTCAGAGAGTATTTGTGGCCCGAGTCCTCACTGGTGTTTACACTCAGGGCAACAGCAGCATGAAGGTGCCTCCGCCTCGCAGCAATCAGCCCAATGACCGTTATGATTGTTTGGTGGACCAAATAGCAAATCCAAGCATGTTTATTATTTTCAATGATAACCAGGCATATCCAGATTACCTCATTACCTTCTGTTAGTGCTTCATCGTGGGGAATATTTCCTATACAGCTAATACATTTTCAACACAGCATTACCATCAGTAATCTGAATAGTCAGGCCCCATCTTATGTTAAAGACCTCATAGTACCGCATCACCTCTATAGAGCACTTTGCTCTCAGACTGCAGGCTTACTTTTGGTTCTTGGGATATTTAAAATAGTGTGGGTTAAGATTAGGCTTAAAACCTCAATTTTTGATAAAGCACATGTTTAGTGCAGATAACCCTCAATCCTCCTTTAGTTACGCTTTAGTTTTTCCTTCCCACTCTCCGTCAGCATTGTCAGCACTTGCTCATAGCACTTGTCTGATGTTTGTGTGTTTCTCTTTATATCTGCATTATTATTGTCTTTATTTTACGATGTGAAGTATCGGCTTTTGTGATTTGGTGTTATATATGAATAAAACTGAATTGAATTGAATTAAATTAAACAGTGAGTGCAGACAGCAGCTTGCTTTGCAACAGGGCTGCTGTTTTGTGTTGAACAACATTTTGGCTCTCCTGATAAAAGCAATCTTCTTATTGTTATTCTTATTATCTTCTTATACAACTCACTATTAACTGAACAGCCAATGAAATAGTCACTCTGTGGAAAAACTGGAGAAGTAATTAGTCGCTCAACCACACAACATTAAATAGCAAATAAATCCATCTTCAAAAGTCTCTGTGCTTAAATTCCTGAACTTAAATTTAAAGAAAACTGGCTGCTCAAGACAGGCCAAGTGTAACTTTGTGTTACTACTTCTGCCACAGCGCAGTCTGGATTTTCCCAGCCCTTGTAGGCGGGGCTGCTGAAGCACCTTTGAATGGGAAGGACATATTTAAAGAGGCACAGATCACTGTTGATGTCGAGACAGTTCAAATTATAATTTATGTCAGGTCTCTGGTCTTTCTGTTAATTTACATCTAAAATATGAGCATTTCAATAATGTTATTCAAACCATATGTTGAAAAACTGTGTCATTATTTGTTAATGCATAATAAACTAAGCTAACTTCAATTGGACTCTAAAGTTTGGATTCTGAGCTTTAGATATTTGTAGATTACCACTTGATACTACATGTGAGAATGTGGAAGAACACTGTGGAAGACCAAGACAAATCTGTAACTGATGACTTACCAAAATGAGCACAAAAGTAACTGTAGTGTTTCACACTAAAGTGAAAGATGTTTAATTTCCTCAGCAGTGAATAATAAAGGATTTGGAGTTTGTTTAGTAGCTGTAGCTTTATGAAAATTTAAGTGTTTTTAAAATGTATTAAATCAACAATGCTTTTTTTGCCCTGTGAATTTTTACATATACTGTTTGCTCTTAAAATAAACTCTTTGAGAATGAAAAATCTAACATATTTATATAATTTGTTCAGCAATTTGATCTTAACAAACTGATGCCACTTCTCTAACTGTAGAGGCTAAGCCTACGGTTGAAGCGACTGAGGTGGTCGTTAACGGGGGTGACGCGATGTCACTGGTACGTATGAATTAAGTAAACAGTCCAATAACTCCAGTAGTTCTTATCTTGTCCTTTTTGGTCTTTATTCCCATATCATCTTAACATAACAGCGCAGCGGTCTCAAGCTGTTTGCCTTCTTACAATTAATGACACACCTGACGCCGATTACGTGCGTCTACCTTAAATACCTTTACATGAACAAAACAGAAAAAGGTGACCTCTAGCGGCCACATAAGGCATTAACCCAAAAATGGCTCCTACACCATTGTTTAAAGAATCAATGTAATGTATGCTATTGTTCACTGCATGACATATGGCCATAAAGGACCTCATCACATGAATCAGTCACTGCCACAAATCTCCTGAGCTTATTTACCTCCTTCTTAGTAAAAGCCATATCTGTAGAATTCTCTTTGATGTTTTAAAGCTTGAGTTAATGACAGAGCTCACATAATTACTGGTAAAATGTCTTTCTCAAAACCATGTTAAGACATAAATATGATTTAGAGTTATACTCTGACAGCTGAAACACCTTGTAAAGTACCTGCAGAGTAGGTAGGTGAGCTGAAAAGCCCCTGAAAATTAAATGCGGACTTTTTGCATTGCTGGGTGTATGAGTTTAAGTATGAGGATGCGATACTTGAAAAGTGAAAGTGAAACAAAAACAGGCACTCACAGAGCGGCACAACCAAGTTTTAGACGGGCTGAAAGTTCTCGTGTTAGTGTAGAATTGCAGATAAAATGGATGAATATCCGTATCCACTGTTTTTTGAAGCCACTGACTTTACAGACAGAGAGAAGGAGAAAGTGAGGAGATACTTTCAGAAAAGGCGAGACTCCGGGGGTGGCGACTGCGGAAATGTGGAAAAACTCGGAGGAAGAGTTTATAAAATCTGTTTTAAGGAAAAAGAAGGTAGGACAGTCGGTTATTTGTAAAATATTTTTTTGGGGGGGGATTTGTGTTTAATTGCAGGCTGTTTCAGTGACTCTGTTTATGGATGTTTTCCAGATCAAGAGAGAGTTTTGCAGAGGAAGTTTCACACCATCACTCTTCCGAGTGGAGAAGTGCGGCTGACCGTGAGCAGGACAAATTCGCAACAGACCTCTGACCAGCCATCGCCAAGCCAATCACTGGTACAGTTTACTGCTCTTTCAAACATGACTTTTGGTTACAGTAAAAACTCAGCGTCAGAGCCGGATAATGTTGCGAAACCAGTTTTAGAGGAGTTAGCCTCCAGGGAAAGTTGGACCGCTGAGGACAATATTGACAAAAACAGATGATTGTAAAATAGTTAAAACACATTGCAAGTACTGCAAAGAATACATTCTAAATAGTAAAACTCTCTCTTTTAAAAACTACACGATCATTAAATTCGATGTCAAGGACAAATTTACAGAATGTGTTTGTTGTTTTAGAAGAATATCAGTGATGTATCACTTCCTCTTCTTACAACATTTGGGCAATAGAATATGTTTGCTCCACTTTTGCTGTGCCATCTTTGTTATTCATCGTTATTATTATGCCTCAGATGTTTTCAGTGGCTGACAGTTCTCAGGCTTCTTTAACTTATGAGTCTCGCTTTTGATACAAAGTTTAAAATATAAGTGTAGTTTAGTGTTTAAATAAGGAAGCCCTTCCCTGAAAAATACATCATGTGGATAGCACAGCATGCTTTTGCATTAAAGCCTTTGTAGACAAGTAAGTAACCCATGCCATGTATGTCACTCCACCTCCATACCATCAAAGATAATGCTTTTCAGAACATGGGTGACAACAAGCAAGATGGTGATACACTCATGGGACACTTTACTTTCACCTTGATAGTACCAAGTAAGACTTCAGTACTGCTTTAAATCGTTGCTGTTAGTTTTTGATTGTAATGAGTTGTCATTTGAGTTACTTTTTCTTTCCTATCAGCTCGAAGCAGTCTGGCCACTAAACTAGCACACAGATAAAAAACAAACAAAACCAAAAACATCATGTTTTAAATGATTCACAAATTATTTCATTCTGCTTTCATTTACATTGTACACAATAGCCTAATTGTTTTAGAAACAGGGTTGTGGTGTATTTCTGTTATAAGACAGTGTCATAGTCAGACATAACAAAGAAAAACAAAAACATATTAACAGAAATGTTAATGTTAATGTCAATATGTTTTATCTACATAGGACTGTATGAATCTGTACCACTGGCAACTGCTGTGAAATCCAGTTTTTTGTGAAACGAGTTTATTTAGGAAACAAATACTTATACTTGTCTTTTTTTAAGAGGTGGTGATTAAAATGGTGTTTGGATGTTGGATGGATGTTGAGGTGCTAGGGCTGTGCGATATGACTTTAAATAAAAATCATGATTAATTGAACGCAATGACACACAAACTAGGTTTGTGCTGTAAATATGCTGAACCACTAAAGCTGAGATATTTTTGGTATTTTCTCATAGTTTTCTTCTTTTTGATTGATGTTGTGTTTACTAAAGTCAATTGGGCATTGGGCTCGGTGTTTCAAGTTTCCTCTATGATGGTTGTCATGCCACAGACTGGACATAGCAGAGATAGTACATAATGGGTGAAGTATTAATAAGTGTAAAGAGAAAAGAAATAAAATACATGACATAGCAAAGATAACGTCAATTAGAGGTTTTGAAAGAGGATTATGATTCATTTTTGACTTACTGCCCAGACCTATGTGGTACACAATACACAATATGTACACAATAAGTAGCATATCTTATAGCATAAACTCACAGATTTGTTTGATTTCTTTCCGTCTTTTAGACCTCAACAAACCCAAACATAAAGGGTCTTGAGAAGACTTTCAGGATAGATGTTTTCCTGCTGTTTTTCCTGAGAGACAACTGTAAAGCATACACATTTTTTGAAAAACAACTGT